TAATATTTCGTAATTGTATATTTCGCAATATTGCGAAAGTTTTTACGTAATATTACGGTTTTCTTATGCTTCGTAAACTATTGCGCAATATTACGCCCTATTAAATTTGCTGATGTACTCCTTAAAGTTGAAAGCCCAAATTTAGGTATAAGGAGAGTAAGTTAATAGGATTTGGCTCTAGCGTAATTTAAAGCTTGAATTTGATATAGGATTCATATAGCTATAAAGGCTTGTAGAGGACGTTATAAAGGCAGGAAAGCTAGGGTCGGAATTCTGACCCCAGAACTCCCCTTTTGACTCTACTTCTGAGGCAGGAGCTACACCCCAAATATTAAAAAATATATATATATTTCATAATTTTATATTTTGCAATATTGTGAAATTTATTATGTAATATTATGGTGTTCTTATACTTTATAAATTATTTTGCAATATTATACACTATTAAATTTGCTGATATAGTTATAGTTAGTAAAATTTCAAAAATTTTAAATTTAAAATATTAAAAAATTTAAAAGTTTAAAAATTTATATAATCAAATTTTGTTTGCTTTACAATTTAAAAAATAATAAAAATTAAATTTAAATATTTATTTAAATTAAGAAAAATTTTAACTACAGTATTACTTTTAATAAAATTTACTGAAAATGCTATATCTCAAAAATATACTAAGTAAATGAAATTAGATATTCTAAGTAAAAATATTCAGAACTTCTAAAAACTTTATAAAAACTAAAATTGAAACTTTATATTAACTTTACATTATTTTATAAAAAAGAAAAAAATTCTTAATACCTATACTCTAACTCTAAAAATTCTTATGCTAGTGAATTTTACCAAAGATTAATTTTAAATAAATTCTTAAATTAAATAAATTTAAAATTTTATTTTTTATAAACTTTTTAATATTATTTATAGAAATATATTTAAAATAACCGGTGGTGATCATCACCACCCCTAATTATTTTTAGGGTTAGAGTTAGAAATTAGAGAATTATTTTTTTTTTATATAAAATAATATAGACCTACTATAAGGGCCCGATTTTAGTTCTTGTAAAGTTTTGGGGGTCCTGAACATTTTTACTTAGAGAACCCGATCCCGTTTACTTAGTACGTTTTTGAGATATAGGCACCCCGGTGATGATCACCACTGGTTATAGTTAGATTTATTCTTATTTATATTATAATTTATTACTAGTACAGTTTGCTCTCTATATAGTTACTTTTTATATAGTTATATTCTCTTTGTAAAAACACTAATTTTTAGAGAAATTTGGTCACTATATAGGCACAATTGCTTATAAACACAGAATTTCTTGAAACTAAAAGCGTGACTATAGAGAGATTTGACTATATATATAAAATTTTAAATAATTAGCAATTAGCAAATTTGCAACATAAAAGCTTTAATATTTAAATTACTTATTGGATTTTTTTTAATATATATTTGTTTATTACTTGCAATAAAAAACTATAATTTTTTTAAAAAAATTTATTAAAAGAAAAATTATATTTAAAAAATTTTTGTATTAAAAATAATCATATTATAGTATTTTTATATAGTATCTTGAAGCAAAACAAATTTTGCGTTTAAAAAAGCTTGCATTTAAAAAAAAAATTTACTCTATAAATTATATTTTATTCTATAAGCAAAAAAAACTACATTAAAAAACAAGCCACATGATCTTAGTTTACGAGCGTCGCACACTATAGCGCCTTTTGTTTGCCTTTATTTATCTGTTATGTAACGACAAGGATGTACGTACTGTGCGCAGATCACTTAATTTTATAATCACAAAACGCGGTAATATCACGTGTGAAGATCAATACAACTTAAGACCATCGCGCGTTAAGTCGCGATATTGTACTAAATAAATGGCCTTAGAAGTGCGCGAATACTATACAAAGATTGAATATGAATAAAAAGTTTAATGCGCAGAATGCGAGCAGTTACAAATACATAAATGTCGCTTTATTAACTGCGCCAAGATGATGACGAAATTGATCACATTTCATCGAATGATACAAACAGTGTACGTAATGGATTGGCTGTCCAATCATAATTGTGAAATGCAGTTAATTTGTTCCCGATTTATTATAAATAGAGTTGATTCCTTTTCTTAGTAAACCTTTGCTTGCACAGAAATAATAACCCCAAAGGCTAAAAATTTTATTATTGTTTTATCTAAATTTCTTTTTGCCATATCAAAATATGGATTATACAAATGGTACTGCGGTACTTCCAGTTGAAGAAGAATATGAGGTAGAGCGTTTTTATAGAATAATATTAAAATAATTATTTGCAATTATGCGGATTTTTACTTTGTGAAACCTTGCAATATTGTTGTTTTTTAAAGGTGTGCAGACTATAAGACTGTTTTTAACTTGCTTCTTTGGTCTTTACAATTTTTTTTTTTTTTTTTTTTTTAGGTTGAAAGAGTAGTAGGAAAGAAAGAAGAAAATGTAAGTAATTTAAAAGGGTTCAAATGTTTTGACTTGTTTTTTAATGTTACATCATATATATGAATGGTATTTTGGTTCATTGACAATTTTTGCATATTTTTGTGAAGTATAAAATTGCTTTTTCATGTCGAGCAACATCTGAAATATGACATAAACTATGAGAAATATTATTTATATTCCGGTGAATATCTTTTTTGTATTGGCCATACTATCAAATGTGATCACGTGTAGATTTTACCATCAGAGAGCAAGTTTTAGAGTAATGGGTTATTGAATTTCGTGTGGCAAAAGCGTATAAGAGATTAGAGAATTTATTGCTTTTGTAAATCTTACTAGAATATTGTTGTTAGCTTTGAAAAGTGGTCCAAGCTTCAAATATATATAGAGGTTGCATTAACATTGTGTTACATTAGTTTTAAAAAATGGTTCAGAATCCAACCTATAAATTAATAAGCTGTAAAACAAAGACATTTTATTGTAAAATATTTTAATTTTAGCAATTTTTAATTTAATTTTAATTAATCAAATTTTCTTTTATTTACAACTTTATTACAACAATAGGGTGTGGTATACTATCTTTTGAAATGGAAAGGATATGATGATAGCTATAACACTTGGTAAGTTTATTTTTTAAGTAGATTACACATGATGAGTTTTGTGTCACACTAAATTAATTACCCACTTTGAAATTATATCCAATTGGATACGTATAGGGAACCCTCCAGTAACCTTGATTGTCCAGATTTGGTGAGACAATTTAACCGTGAGCAAAGGATGAGAGAAGAAGCAGCAAACTTGAATCCACCCAAGGTATTAAGTTATAATGTATGAATTTTTGGTTCTAGGTGAAGGCTCGGTTTTGTAGCGCAGCTTCGGTCTACAGATTTGTGATATTTTATAAAGATCTGTAAGAACATTATCGTAACAAAGAAAGGGTCGTTTGATGTCACGTGACTAAACATGAACTAACAATAAAACTTTTTTTGTAGAAATTGTGCTTAACAAAATTTTCGCGCCCTAAGACTCAGAACGAGCTAGAGTTTGAAGCATTCTTACGAGCCCATGCACGTGACGGACCACCAATTTCCGTGATCAACGATGTTGATGATCAAGGTGTACCTCCAGATTTTCAATATGTTGATGGATATATATATGGTGAGAACGTTCCTCGTCCAGAAACTCTTAAGGAAACGTTGTTCGGATGTGAGTGCGAAGATGGAATTTGCAAAGGGTTCAAATGTAAATGTCTTAAAGAAATGAACAAGGGTATGCTATATTACAAGAGAGACACAGGACAAGTCAATGTGAAGCCTGGAAATGTTATCATTGAATGTAACAGCCGGTGTTCATGTTCTGCACGTTGTCCAAACCGTGTAACACAACAAGGGCGTAAAGTATATTTGGCGATAAAAAGATTTGCCGAAAAAGGATGGGGAGTTGTTGCTACAAAAAGAATTGAGTCTGGCGTGTTTATTACCTATTATTATGGTGAAATCATAACATCACAAGAAGCGGATATACGTGGGAACAAATACGATGAAGTAGGACGAACATATTTGTTTGACCTTGATTTCTGTGATGATCCGTCAAACGACACTTCGGCTTGCCTTTATACGATTGACGCGTGGCGATTTGGAAACATTTCACACTTCTTCAACCATTCATGTGATCCTAACTTAGTCGTTTATCCGGTAATGACAGATAACGGTGATTTGCGACTTCATCATGTCGCTTTTTTTTCTAAAAGAGTTATTGAAGTTGGAGAAGAATTAACGTTTGATTATGTTGGATCAGTAGAAAAACATGAAGGTGCTGAGACAAAATTAGATGATAATATCAAGTCGGAAATTATCGAAAAATATATATGCAGATGTCGCGCTAGTAATTGTCGTGGATATTTCCATTCTATCTAAATTCTTTGTATAAGACAATGCTCTGTATTGTAAGAGATGAAAGATGTTATAATTACGGGTATTTTTAGACAAAATAATTCATTTGCCATTTTTCACATTCTTCTATGTAGCTCATGTAATTTTATTAGCTATTACAATGATTTAGAATTTTCTTGTTGACGTCATGGCATTATCAATAAATAGAAGAGAAATTTGATGTAAATATATAAATCAATTAGATCAACGTATTCTGTTAATAAGTCAAAATTTCCGACTGTGAACTTGCATATGATATTTGTTTTCATGAACGATAAAGCAATCACGTGAAATGATCAACCGATTGATGATTGTCATTTTCGCTTTATATAATGAAGTTTTAATTAAACCTTCGAACAGCCTTAGTCTACAAATTTTATAATTTTTTCTGACAAATTTGTATAAAAAATTGCTATAAATTTGTTTATACAGTAAAACCTCTATAAGTGCACCCTCTATAAGTGCACACCCTCTCTACATGCACACCATAGCCTGGTCCC